ACGGACCTAGAACGGCTGGTCAGCAGCGAAACAACGAGGGCAATCGAAGATGAACGGACAAAAAGCCGAAATCTCCAACGAGGTCGTCAATGTCGGAAACCTCTTTGCGATGTGATTGAGCGACACAATCCGGCGATGAACCTGTAGTGATAGAGCTTTCCCGGACAGTTCCTATTTCATCCGTTGAGAAAGATTCCTTGCGATACCGCAGGCTCGCAATCTGTTTTTCAAGTCGCTCACAGTAGCCTTCCAAGGACGCTACATAACTTCTCTCTTTTCCTCTGGCAAACTCGTCACTGGCACCAGAGCAGGTGCTCGCTTTCCCTACTCTTTCGCACGCGGAGCAGGCAGGAAGTTTCCCATCGCATTTTATTTTCGCTGTTCGGCATCTCGAGCAAGCGGCAACCGGCCGGCTAACTTTGAGAAGTGGTTTGTCTAGAAATGAATTTGCCGACATTCTAACATAGTATTACCTGGGCTGCATGTCAGAAGACCGGGAAACAGATTGCAACAGAGTATGACGTGTCTGAAAACACCAGGCGCATACCGAATGGCGGACGGACAATGGCTGAGATTCATGTGAAATGCGCGCAGCATATCAGATATAAGAACAGTCGCTGAAATGTAGCCTGCCGAAGCAATCAGAAGTCTTGCGAGCGAAGAGCGCGACCGAAAGAAGATCAAAATAGAGGCTGATTCATCTACTACCTTAATGACTTTGGGAATAAGGAATTCAAAGAAGATGGCAGAAGTACCTCAGGATCGATCATTAGTTGCTTTGACAGACTGCTCTTATCAGAACATTCGGCTCCTGCGGATTTCTTTTTGCTTTTTGTGACCGTGTACGTTTGTAGTAGTAGCGAGAGACCTAGTAGAGGAGATTATCGATGTCAATGTCAAGAATAGCCGACTACCATATCCTGTGAAAATATTAGTGATATTTACCGAAAAATCACGAGGTCATCAATGGAGGACGTTAGTAGCGGATTTGCTCCGCGTCGAAAGTCACTAATTGGGGTACCTTGAGGAGATAGAAAGGGATAGATTTAGGCGAGGCAAAGCGGTAAATGGGTTACCTTGACCAAAGGGGAAGTACCTAATTGAAGGCGACAAGTTCATGCCACCAACTGGGTCAGCCTGCAGTGGTGTGTATCCAACAAAGCAGCATGACCGTTATGCCGCGGGTAAGGCAGTAGTAGTGTGAGCAGTAGATACGTCGTCGTATATAGCGCAAGTAGGAGAAATCATCCTCTGCTGATCTTCTTCCTAGACTGATTTAACTCTTCCTCTTCCGTTGGGTTCCCTTTTTCCCCACCTCTTAAGAACACCCCACCTTCCGTACTCCGTACCCTCTCCACCATGCCCAGCAGCTTATCTCTTTGGCAATGGAGTACTCTATCTCTGTGCCGATAATCGAATACAAGAGTAACTGTCCTAATTTTCCTTCCATGAATACTACAAGCGCCCGCGGAGGAGATGATAGAAACATGATTGGGGGGCTTCCTCCTGAGCTCCAGATGCATGCTACAGACCAACGCATATGCGTATCCTCCGCCAGGCATCTTCCAGACAAGATGACAAGAAGTCCTGTCCCCGATTAACAAGCTTCAACACAGATGGCTGTCATGCCGCAGCACTACCATCCTGGTCCTCTCTACTATGAAATTGTCGGATGTCCGGAACGAGCTGCTTTGTGTCCCTTGTCTATAGTGCATGGTTGGTGCACGTGTCCAACACGCATCTGTTATAGACCTTACGCTGTCAACTTACACAGGTTTCAATCTGGGTCTTAGCTGGTTGTCATTTGCAATCCAATTCCAATATCAGTTTCTAAATGCCCTTCCTTTCACAACAAGCTTGCTTGACCCTGCAGACCAGACTCGGATTTCTAATACTTGAGGGCCTCAATGGCAGTTTTCAAATCCCTCGTTGCCGATAATGAGATATGGGTTAGGCACTAGCTTGGCCAGCTCAAACAACTCGGTCAGAACTTGAATATACCGGGCTACATACTTATTGGTCTCCCTAGCGCCATCCTTCCCTATAATCCCAAACCGAATACAGTACGTCCACCCTTGAAATCTGTGGTTTCACTTCTAGTGAAGGTTATCAGTAATTCGGATGCCTTCGATTCGGTGAAATAACCGACCAGTCACTTGTCGTAGCGAAAGACTGGACACTTCTGGTGACTGCTCAAAAAGAAGGCGAGCAAATTCATCCCCATTGCAGCGGTATCAAGAAACATAGTTGAAGCTCTGTTTGCCCTCACTCATGGCTTTGAGAACCTCCGCAATTTGCTTGGTCACGGAAGTCTTGTAGTTAATTGAAGACTCAGTAAGAATTCCCATGTTAGCCATCATGTGATCCCCCGAAGGAAGTAAGTACCTTGGGAAACGCATTACACTGAGTGGACCGCCGCAGTATATATTGACCTCGCCAGGATCTGGTTTCCACCCGATTTAGGAAGCTCCAAGTCATATGAGACCTCAAGCAATGCTTGCCGCTGTTAGCAATAATGCCTTTCGTGATGGACCGTCAGACGAGCAATCAGAGAAAAGTATAGTCGTGCTCGCAGTCGCAGTCGATGTTTCAATCAGAGAGACCTGCTGCAACACCATGCTTGACATCTAGCATGAATAGTCTCCTCAGAGCAACCCCTTCGCTGTGTAGAGCACGTCAACGACAGCTGTAAATTTCAATAACACGAAGCATCCCTGCGAGAGGTAACAGGAAGCAGAGTTCCTGCTCAGGAGCCAATCATCCATTGAGGAATATGACCTAGTTTATACATCGGGGGTCAAAAGTATCCGGACATTCCGCCTTTCCGCGACGCGTCAAATAATCAACAATTCTTTCAACCACCAACCATTCTATTAAAATGAGGTCTTTTGGGACCGAAATTAGTGGAAATAGAAGGCCTAAAGCTGAACTATCACCTGAATCACGCGCGGCTATTTTATATGGCCTAGAGAATCAACAATCGCCTACACAACTTGCAAAGGAATTTGGCGTCAGTCGCAGCACTATTTATGCAACCAAAGAACGCTTCCAACACCATAAAACCCTGAAATCAAGGCCTTGAATGGGTAGACCCCAAAAGCTTAGTCCCTCTGCTAAGCGTTATATCTATCAGATGGTCCGCCGGAGCCCTTCTATGAGCTGGAAGGCCTTGGTTGCATACTCGCCTGGGGGGGTCTCCAAGTCAACTATTCAACGTGTTTTGAAGAGATATCACCTCAAGAAGTGGAAGAGCAAGAAAAGGATCCCTTTAAAGCCTGACACAGTCAAGAAACGCTATAAATTTGCGCGTACGTGGCTTGATTTTCCTCACTGGGAGGAAGTACTATTTTCTGATGAATGTTCCGTCCAAAGAAAGCCAAATAATTCCACCTAATTTGTCTTCTGATTCTCAAATGAGGCATACCGGCATGATCTAGTTAACTTAACAAATCATGGGAAGGATATTTCACAAATGATATGGGGCGCAATCTGGATTGGGGGCCGTACAAAGCTGGTGATCATGGATCGCGATGAATTGGCTCCCCGAGGGGGGTATTCTACCAATTCTTATCTAAAATGCCTTGAAGATGGCCTCCTTCCAATCTATGAACCTGGCCAGATCTTTCAGCAAGATAATGCCAAAATCCATACATCTTACCAGGCGCAGGAGTGGTTTGAATCTCATGGAATCTGGGTCATGGAATGGCCTCCGCATTCGCCTGATTTGAATCCAATTGAACACCTCTGGAACCTCCTAAAGAAGAAGCTTTTACAGCTCTATCCTAACCTCTTCTTAGGAGGCAGATCCAAGGTAGATTGGACCCGATTTCGCAAGGCTATTATAGAGGCATGGGATGCTATCCCTCAGGAGAAGATTAATAGTCTAATTCGCTCAATGCCACGTAGATTACGTGCAGTTTACCAGGCAAAGGGATGGTATACTAAATATTAATATCTACTATCCCCTAGTTTATTCTTATGTACTAGAATAGTATGGTGGTTGAGAAATATGGGATTGAAAATGGTCGGATTTTTCAATTTTTTAGAGTGTCCGGATACTTTTGACCCCTTAGTTTATGGTGCGGCCAACCTCCTACTTGCTGAACCCTGTATATTAAGTCTGTGGCAGTTGCTGGAGCTAAGCAATACCCTCCAGCAACCTTTTGCCCATAATTCTGAACGATAGAAACTTTCCTTATCGACGACCACGGTTGCTGGATAAATATCAGAAGCTCGTCGTCTCTACTGAATGGCCCCCTAGCAACTTACAGCTATGGCCCTATGGGTGATTGAATACGGTACATTTGGCCAATTCAGAAATACTTAGCAAAGACAGAAAATAATTCTCGTAGTCTGTTCTTGGACATCGAAATAATGATTTAACTAGAGCATGTAGATATATCTTGGACAGTTGTGAGCTTGAGCATTGGGGTGGGGTGGAATATGAAATACTCACCTACGACTGGTTGGTCTCAGTGGTTAATGTTACCTTACCTCACCTCTTACCTCCCGCAGGTACCTACGTAACTACCTATCTACCTAACGAGTCTTTGGCTCATCCCTTGACTAAGCGCCCTTGTTAATGCACCGGGATCTGGACCGAGGAGGTACTACCACGTCCCTCCTCCTTACATCAAAGGATCAAAACATATAACCGTGTCGGCCATGCTCACAAAATAATAGAATAATCGCCTGCGAGCATTTTGAGACGAGTCACGAGTGCTCTGATTTAACGTTCCAGATTGATGGTTTCTTACGGGTGCTGCCGCCTACGCCTCCTTGCAGACGAACCCTGAATATGTCGACCGTGCTCTGTCGTCAACATTATTCTGCCGGTGCTCGAAATATCGATTGTTACTGTGGGTCTAACTTAACTCAAGAACCCCTCACAAGGGCAGCTCCATGTGAAGGCATGGAAGCTGTGTTGCGTAGTGCTTTGTGACTCGGAATCGCTTTGAACGTGCGCAACAACTCGTGGGCTCTCTACCCAACGCACGACCATGGCCACACATTCGAGTCCGCTGGAATCACATCCACGATTTACAAATCCGTGGAAGGAGCAATCCGACAAATCATCACAGCAGATAGGAGAAGCTCCCGACGGGCGGATTGCGCATACACTGACTGCGTGTACCAGGTGCCGACAGGTATGTTCCTTTTCGTGAATTCATCATCTTTCATCTACCCCGCCCCGCCTCTCGAACTCCTCGTTCCTAAGCTAAGAGTTACCAAGCGAAAATCTAGGTGCGATCCAGGTATTCCAAGATGCTCCCCGTGCGAACGCAGTAACGCCAAATGCGTATACTACGATTCCGCCCGCAAGTGCACCATACCGAGAACATACATTATCTCCCTGCGTGAAAAGGCTCACATGTTAGAGAAAGAATTGGCCGATCTGGAGAAAGATATTCAACATGCTGCAGATGCCGAGCTCATGGTCCGAGAGGCGGGGCGCATTCGATTCAAAGAAAATGATGAGTCGAGGTACCTTGGGCCATCCAGCGGTATCGCAATTACTCGTTTGGTCATGGAGATGGCCAAGCAGAACACAGACTCAAAAAGCATCAAAGATGTTGTTCCTGAGTTCACAGCACAGGAGATCAAAGCAGCATTTGCGCTAGAAAGCTCTAAACCGACATCGAAAGTTTACCCCATGATCAGCTCAATCCCTCAGCCTAATTTACCCCCGCGTAATCTGACTTATCGACTGATTGATGTATTTGTAGTCAAGGGTGAGTTCTGCCCCTCTAAGTCGACGATTCCTGATGCATTTCGTCTGACCATATCTGCAGCGCAAGCGATGCTGCCGACCCTGCACGAGCCTTCTTTTCGCCAGGAGGTTGAACAGGTCTTCAATGGCTTTGATGACCCTTGCCTCAATTTCCAACTCCGCATGGTCATCGCCATCAGCATGCAAAAAATGAGCACCGAGTATGCAGGACTGGCTGACAGTTACTACTTGGCAGCACTGCCATATTTAGAGGCATCCCTTAGGCGAATGGATCTTAGGGCTCTGCAATGCCTCGTCCTCATAGCCCAATACTCTATGCTGACGCCCACAAGAACGGCTGCGTACTGGGTTGTCGGGATGGCGGTCAAACTCTGTCAAGACCTCGGCCTGAGCGAAGAAGCGACAGTTACCAAGTCGCCGGATGGGCGGCCATTGGACCCGTTGGAGGTTGACATGCGAAGACGGTTATTCTGGATTGTCACCTCGATGGAACTCGGCCTCGCGCATAGTCTTGGTCGGCCAAGTTGCTATTCCATCCCCCATGATTATATCAACGTCAAATTCTTCGAACTTGTGGACGATCGATACATCACAGCCGATGGAATTCTTCCAGGAGGCACACCAATCTTAGCCAAGTGCATAGCCATCCACTTTTTCAAGATGAGATTGCTACAGTTAGAGATACGGCGAACTCTGTATTTGAACAAGCGTGACACCCCTGCGAATGATCAAGACCCGTGGTTCTCGCAGATGCTAGCCAAGCTTGACCACTGGGTGGCTTCTTGTCCTAAGAACGATGGCGGTAGCGGATTGAGCGAAAAATGGTAAGAAGTAAAATCCCATCTTGTTGACTTTGCTGATCACCGACATTCTCCCAATAGGTTTCATGGCAGACGGAATACGATGATCGTCTTCATGTTCCGACCATCCCCTCAAGTTCCCGAACCCTCTGTTGAGGCTGCACGAAAATGCTATGAAGCGTCGGTGTTCAATGTTGCAATGCAACGAGAGCAAATCGCCACTAGGTCTGTTGATTTGACCTGGATTTTCACACAATCACTCTTTATGGCGCTCAATACCATTCTCTGGTCCCTATCGTACCCCGATATTCGAAGGGAGCATCCCATAGAGGAGGTCAGGGCTCATCTCGACGTCGCTTTGGAAGCGATGATGCTTGCTGCGGAGAGGTGGCCCGGGGTTGAGTCCGCTTTGCTGCTGTACAAAAATCTTGTGACTGCATGCCTCAAGGCTTATAATACTGATGAGTCGTTTGTCGTTCATTCGCCCTCTAACCATGCAACACCGTCGTCTACGCAGGACGTGATGACTCCGCCTTCCATTTCCAGCCCTTCTAGTACGACAACTTCATTCCGAGCTGGAAATCATTCAATTCATGACACTGTGTCAGTCGGCACTGTCTCAAGAGGACACTCCGCGGACCCGACTTTCCCATACTCACAAGCGTCTCCGGCTGCAGCCGTGAGAGCCGAGTCACAAAAGCCTCCATCCTACTCACATTGGGAGACTGAACCCCCTCCATTGCAACCGTCCGACTCGAATTCTACGCAGGCCTCATACACACCTCAGGGGTACACCGAGTCATCCACCGTATTCTCCGATGTCCCTTTCAATCCCACAACACCATTTAATTCATTTCCTTCAGTAGTTCCGGGGTTGCCCGGTTGGGATCCTAATTTCACTGTTGCCTCGACGACAGCGAGCCATTTGACCCACGTTGATGCTGCCGTTGACCCAATGCGCTGGATGGACACGATCGATGATCAATATTCTCAGTATTTCAATGGAGCTTATCCCATTCCACCATGGCGAGGAAGGACGCTCAGTCAGCAAGAGCAGATTGAGCTTATGGCATCATTGGAGGAAAATATCCCCGACGTCTCCGCACAACTTGTGAGAGAGTCGGCCACATTTTATCAGTCATGACCTTCGCGAAACTCCCTGTTGAAAATCATTCATCTCTGGTTTATTCGCGATATACATGTCTTCATTGTCTGCGAATCCACCTATACCCCATCCTGCTCTATTCAATATTCTGGAATAATGTGCTCGGCTTGGAGTTGGGGCAACCAAACTCACTTCAGATCAATGTCTTTACTATCCTAGATCAACGTACAACTGTTTGAAGGGAGAGAGGTTATATTGTATTTGGAACGGTTGGCCGCTGATTTGACGGGCATGGACTCTATTGAGCGATAGTGTATCGTTTCAAATCCATTATGATTAACATGGGCAATCCAGCGCTAGATCCAATCCAACACTTTTGAACGCTTGTAGCCAGATACCACATCCAAAGGTCAATTCTATCAGGCCTGCGGGCGCATGTTTATGAAAGCAGACAATAATACGGAAAAGTTCAGGACCCCCACATGACCTCTTAGATGCACTATGCGTGAAGCGATACAATCTTCGAGACATTCACTATCCCATTTTGAGTTCGGAACTCCGTAGGTTGAGTCCAGTTGATTGAACAATGAACCTGCGAGCATTGACTGAGAATTAAGCGTAAGATCTCGATGGCTGACATCTATGATCCATAAATAAGCGCTCGTCCGCTATCCGTGAGAGTTTGGCAGTGTCTACCTAGGAATTACGGCTGTACAAAGGTACCAAGCTTCTTGACAAAGGACGTACAAAGACTTCCAGTCAACCATCTACGGCGAATGCATACAGGCTTAATGTAATTCATCTGTCAAAATCAAAGAGAGGTTATTCTCAAATCACCAGGTCAAGATCTGAGGTTCAACATGTTTTGCCGTTCCCCGGCACCGAAGGTCTCTACACTCTGTACAGCGCATTACCCGAATAGGAAAGTAATTAATCCCGGCCCCCGAGTGCAAGCGCGAAAAGACACCCGATCACGTGTGCGCTCTTTGCCGTCATCCAACATCGCCAGTCGTTTCTCCTCCATTATTGAGGATCAAAGGGCATCACTATTCACCACCAACACCAAACATCGCCTTCCACTTCTTTCTTTTACCTCAACAAAATATTGATCCCTCGACTCTTCAGTTAGAGATCGTGTGATTTGATTGGAATGCGCGGCATTTAGACGGTCGTGGAACGTCCTACTTGAGCGAACCTCGACCGGCGTGATCACATTCCCCCCCCCCCCCTCTCAAAAGCCTTGATCTGCCCTGGCTTGCTACCCCCGTATCAAAGATCTTCTAGATAGGATCTTGTCACGGTTGGTCTCAGGGCTCAGGCTGCTTGGGCTTCTTGCCTGTCTCTTGTTCTGGATTTCTCATCTAGGATCCCCATGTCTGATTGCGCCTCATCAGCGTCATTCCGAGCAGGGCCTCCTTCACCATCATCTCCCGCTTCCGGGTCATTGAAAGAGAACCATCCGCCGTATATATCCTCTGAACATTTTCCACAGACTCCGACATCTCCTCCGTTGATGTCGGTAAGCGCTTCTAACTATGCCACCAATATCGCATCCTCCCAACCTCCCAGCCAGGCGACGTCACAACCTGCGAACCTTTCATCCCCTCCTTCCTCAGCTCCGATGTCTACGCAGACCTCACAACAGCCGACCCTAGGTGCAACGAATTCTTTTCCTACTCCGGCCAGCAGTGTGAGCGGCCACTTCATGGGACCGACTTCCGTCGAGGATTCAGAGCACGCGGGAACATCATTTGAGCATGTGCAAGCAGACTCAGGCCTGCATTCATCATCTACACAACAGTCAGAGCACAGACGGACCGATCACGATCGGGAGTTGGAAGGGCCAACTCCAGGGATAGATGTCCGCGATTTTGCAAGCGTGGGCGTCCCGCATACGCGCAGCGATACAGATGCCATGGATGTTGACAAGGACATCAACGCTTCCTCTAAATCCGATGGACTGAGCCTAGAGTCCCTGCAGCAGGATTTCTCTTCCGCATTCCATCTTTGCAAAAGCTGTAAGGATACCCCTGCTAACTTCTCTACACGACCATTCGTGCCGTTTCACAATGCACTATGTTCCATATCTTATTGAACTGAGATTTGTTAACACTGTGCTTTATGCAATCTACAGCCCATATTGCGACCGGCCCGGACCCAGCGCTAGATCTCATCTCACTTTACGGTCTAGGCCCGGTTGCGAAATCGGTTGCAAGGATGGATCCTGTCACGGGGGAGAAGATCAACAGGCTCAGGAAGTCTTATGAGGGCAAACTGAAGGGGCTGGGGCTCGCAGGGAGAAACAAACCCGTGAAGCACGACCCCTCTGCTCCTGGCGGGCTCCGACATCTGACCATGTGGCCCGAGGAGGAATGGCAGAACCAGAAGGTTTATGGAAAGGAAATTAAGGTCGCCGACATTGATTCCGCATTGCATAATCTTCAGATGAAGGCGATGCAGATGGAGCCGGGCACAGTTCCAAACAACGAATACTGGGAGGACGTCTTGGGTCACGAGAAGCCATCGAAACATGCGGGCCATGGGGACGGAAAGAAATCAGCTACACTTCCTAATACCGCCCGATCGCCTAGCCAAGCGAATGATACACCTCTTCCTACGGAGCCGGAACGCGCTCGCCCCAGTCGCGGGCGCAAGAGGCATTATGACGACAACAGCTTCGTCGGGTATGGCGAAGGCTACGCCGATGACGATGATGACACCGCATTCTACTCCAACAGTGAAGGAATTGGAAAGAAGAAACGAAAGAAGGTAAGATCACATGCCTTTTGGGATGGGTCGTGGACACGACTGATCGTTTTTCGTAAAGGAGCATGTTTCAAAGGTTTCGACTCCGCTGCCCGATAGAGGCGGTAGCTACGGCGTCGGTATGTTTGGCATTGGAGCGAGGTAACCGAACGAACCTTAAGATCTACGGCATGAAAAGCAATTTTCTATTTAATGTTTCTCTTCGTGAATAAGGCTCCGCGATGTTCCAGACCAGGAGGCGAGGCATTGACTATCCGTGGCATATGCATGAATATGCATGCGCTAGAGAGATATCGCTGTGGTCGGATATGAGGCCGATGACCTTGTCCTGGACCCATTTATTACTTCTCCGTACATTTTTTTTTTTTCTTTTTTTGCATTACGGTGCTGGATATACCCGGCTTTCACAATGGGACGGCGTTCGGTGGGGAGCAATAATCAGCTGCGGAAACGGATGCTCTTGCCGCTTTTGAATGTTCTCATTTCATTACCTTTTTCTTTTGTGTTTCAGCTTTTCTGCTGGATCTTCGATGCGTCAATTGTTGTTGAATTGTCCTTTTCCGTCGCCCAGGTGGATGACTTTTTGGTCAAGGCACATCAATCATGCTGGTGATAGGGCGGTACCCTTCTCTTTTTCTCTCTTGAAGGACACGGGTGAGGTTGTGTATTCTTTTTCGTCTTTTTCTGTCTACGGACAAATAGCTAGGGAGACTTCGCTGGCACAAAGATGCCGCCAATGTGATACAATATCTAGATGAATGCATATGAATGGTTTTGCCTGAAGCCTCTCTTTACTATAGTCGTCTTAAACTCACCCATCAGCGGGGCAAGATCGATCAATGTGCTATCAAGCGGGGCGGAGATGAGGACCAATCCCAAGGTCCCGATTATCTACAACTCTATTGCAGTGTGCTTACTTGGGGAATCTCCTACCTTCCTTCAATCTCTGTCAACGCATACCAATCCAAGCGAAATCATCATCGCGAGCAACAATCGCAAAACTCCAAACATGGCAACCCCCACCCCGAGCGACAAACTCACCAGAGCCCTCGCACTCATCGACGAAGCCCACGCGGAAGATCCCCGCCGCATCACCGTCGCCGACAATGGCACAGTCCCCTACGAGCTCCACTACGCCAACAAAATGACCACCTACCTGCACAAACGCACCGCCAGCCCCTCCGAGCCCCTCCAACTCGCCATCCGCGCCCAGCATCTCAAACGCTGGGAGGTGCCCCGCGACTCGTACCCCGCCACAAAAGCAGGCTACTACGCCTGGCGGACGTACCTCGCGAAACGGCAGGCCGAGCTCGCGGAGCGGATCTGTCTGGAGGCGGGGTTCTCGGAGGCCGAGGCGGGGAGGGTGGCGGCGTTGGTGCGGAAGGAGGATCTGCGGAAGGATGAGGAGACGCAGGTGCTGGAGGATGTGGCTTGTCTTGTGTTTTTGGATGATCAGTTTGAGGAGTTTGGGAGGGGGCATGATGAGGAGAAGATTCTGGGGATTCTGAGGAAGACATGGGGGAAGATGTCGGAGCGGGGGCATGAGTTGGCGTTGGAGATTGAGATGTCGGACAGGGCGAGGGGGTTGGTTGAGAAGGCTTTGAGTGGGTGATGGGTTTGCGTCTAGTAGAAGTAAATGTCGAAGATACCCTGGTCTAGGTATGTTTGTGATTTGAGGAAAGTTGTATAGAGTCAAGTATCGTACATGTCATCATAAAATTAAGTGTCAGTCCCAGTCCCTGTCCCAAACGCCGCGCTCGGTCTATATGACCCTGGACTTTTGATGTATAACAAAAGTCAGAGTCTGTGGTATCATGAAATCAAGCAGAACCATGGTCGATCAATCGCACAAGCGCAATAGCAGCACCGGCCGCTACGCCTCCAACAAAGCACATCTGCACGCCACCCTTGATACCCGCAATGATGTTGTCCCTACCGCTCCATCCCCGAACGACACAGGTTTTGATGTACCCAAACGCAAGCAGCGTTACAGCCATGACGCCAATACTCCAGTACAGCGCCACGATAACCTGGTCGACCATGAAGTAGGGTATGAGCGGGATGAACCCTCCAACGAAATACCCCAGAGCGAGTGTGATGGCTGAGATCCAAGCCTGGTTGCAATCAGGCTGGGATTCCTTGTGATGGAACGAGATGAGGAAGTCAAGGAGACGATCGTGCGACGCATGCAACGACGCGTTGATCTGCGAGATGGCGGCTTCCGGTAGACCGTAAGCGGAGAATGTATCGTGGACGATGGTGCTGGTCTCGACAGAGGAAGTCTCAATCAACTCTTTTGTTTCGCGGACAGTCGCTTGATACGACTCTCTGTATGCTGTTAGTCCACAACCATATTACAACAAGGACGTGAGCGGGAAAACGCACGCTTCACTCTTGGCCCCGACGTATCCACCCAAACCCATGGAGATGGCACCGGCTGCCAGCTCGGCAAGTCCACCCAGTACGACGACCTTAGTATTTCCCAGCGCAGAGAGACCAGCACTCAGCGCAAAGGGGACAGTGAGGCCATCGGATAGACCCAGGATGGCATCCGAGACGATGCGCGGGTTGATGCGTGATCGGGGAGTAGAGGAACTTGATGAAACAGAGTCGGAGTCGGGTCGAGATGTGTGGAAGGTACGATAGGATCTTTGAGCTTCGAGGTCTTGGTCCGCATCGCTACCCAGAGTGTCGGAATCACTTGCTGATAAAAGAGGCTTGCCTGTTGCCTGGTTAGCGTAGTGTATGCTTCGGTAAATAGCCGCGTTCAACGAACCATAGGTATCTGATCGGCGTTGTTTTCCTTTAGTCGGAAAAAGCCTTTGTTTAAGAAATAAAAGCGCCATTTCAGGAGATGATTTATGAGCTCGACAGGATAATGGGTTCGAGGCTCTGAAGCCCCAAAAGGACCAAAATAGGAAGAAGAGAAATATACAGTATTGCAGGCAAGCAGTGGCACTGACGTCAGAGTCAGCAGGCGATTCAGACAGACGCGAGTTGACTGTGAGATGAAATGATAGCCACAAGTCACAGCAGAGGACTAATATGCTTGACCCGTCCAGTCTCAAATATCCCTAGACTCTTATAAGGTATTCAAATTTGTGTGTAGTGTCTCTTGCTGATACATCAAGGGGGTTCTAGGTTCGTGGCAATCCGCCAATCAACGCATCCGTAATTGTCAGCATTCGCAGATCTGGATCGTATCTCCCGCAGCTGGTGGTCTGTGTTATGATAATCCGCAAAATCTCATTGGCGAGTGGCGCAAGGAGATGACCTTTGCAGCGTCTAGGACTGGCTGATTGTGTCTTGGCGATTTCAGGCTGCATAAAATGCGCTCTCGAGGACCATCCTTCATATCTAGTGGCAGCGGCCTCGATCAACCTTGCGGGTTCGGATATTGCAGTCTTTATGATTGGACGAGAGTACGGACTAATGTTACCTAGGGCTGCCCTTGCCCCCAGTCCAAGCTGTGGAAGTCATTGCCGCTGATAATGAAGCATTACAATTGCGTTGAAGTAGGACTGTCACAGGAATGATGGCGGAATGCCGATGGTTTTCTTGGTAGTCCGTCGCAACGGTTAATCTGACATTAAGGTATTATTTTCAAGAACTAAACATCATAATTATCACTAAACATTCCAACCAGTTCAATATCATCGATAACGAAGCAGAAGTATTGTCGACCAGTCAACTCTGTACGTTGATCAACCTACAGAGCCAGGGCAAGACCAAGGATACCAGCAGCACCCGCAATGCTAGCCGCAATGGCACCAGTGGCAGCAGGAGCAGCGCCTTGCGAGCTGGTGCTCGACGCAGAGCCCTGAGAACCAGATCCGCTGGATCCAGACCCAGAGCCCGATTTGCCGGTGGCCGTTGCTGCGGCACCAGTCATGGAAGCATAGTTGGTCGAGATCCACTGCTTGACGCTGTTAGGCAGATTGCTGTACCAGGCAGGGTAGTGACCCTGTTGGATATCGTGGATAAGGGATGAGCGAGCGCTGGGATTGGCCAGCTCAGACAGGTATGAGGAAGGAACAGCAGTGATGAGCACAGAGGCAATGGACGGAGGAGGCATGCCGTCGTAGGTGAAAGCGGCGGTTGGCATGGAGGAGCCGAGACCTCCCTGGTCAGTCGGAACGCCGCCCATCTTGGTGTTTGTAGGAGCGTTGCCAACGGCGGTATTGGTTGGGTAACCGCCAAAGTCGGTGTTGGTCAGGTATTGCTCGTAGTCGGTGTTGGTCAAGTATTTGTCCCAGTTGTTGGTGTCGGCCCTGTTGCCGCAAGATCGGTTAGTATCGTTCAGCTTACTTGCTTCTGGGGATATACTGACAAGCTGTTCAGATCGTTCATGAGGCTCGAGTAGTAATCATACTGTCTCTTGCCAAAATCTTCTGGGGAAGCTTCGGGAGCGGCTTCAGGAGCAGCCTCCGGCCTGGCCTCTGGTGCAGCCAGGGCAGTGGCAGTCAAAAGGAGCAAGGAAAGGGTCTTGTACTGCATGGTGGAAGCCGAAAGACTGTCGTGCTGAAGGTAAGGACAGTGTGTGATCGATTTGTATTCGACGGACTACAGGAATATGCCCTCTGGAAGATGACAATAACCTTAAATGAAAGAAGTTTGGAGGAAACGTGAAGAATACTCAAGTTTGCGCACGTCGATTCAACATCATCTACTGGCGATACGAGACTTTATACTGCCCATGGCCATTAAAGTTATATTATTAGAATCGAATGCGGCTGGAAACGATTTCCAGGCCCATGCAAATAAATTGCTGCTTCAGGCCTCTCAGACGAAGGACTCCCAACGAGGAGCCTATCATCGCGCACTAGGACGGTCATTGTAGGCCTTCGCCTGACTATCGATGGAGAAAAAGAGTCTAAGATGGCTCCTACGGAGTCGAACCGATATCCCAATCTGGAATCGAAGTAGTCAAACCCTGAATCTATTTGAGAATGGAGTCCTGAAAGGGGGAGCGGCAGCAAATGAACGGGTAGGGGTCCTGAAGGAAAGACTTCGCGTGGATGATCAGATCCCAAAACGGATCTTGAGGCTCGTATAGACGGAACTTTAGGACGAGATGATCTGACGCCAAAATACGATTTTTGCTTGGCAGGGACCTCCCGCTCTAATCACATCGCAAGGAAGAGTAGAATACGAGGCTCCATTTAAGCAAAGTTCAACTTCAATCAAACTAGATTCTCAACTTTGATACACCTGAAAAACCCTGAGAGCTCCTTGATAGGGTGCTTAATCACGTTCGTGAGTTGTCACCAGGCACCAGTCACATCTGGGGGTGAATACTGAAAAGACTCGTTGATTAGTTGACATCTGCCTGCGTTTCTTTTTTTGTGGCTTGGAGGATCCCGCTCATATTGCTCTCAAACATGACTCGACAAGTCATCGGAGCCTCAGATCAAGAGTGTAATGCCTCCACTTTTGCAGGACCACATAGCCTCATAATTTTTACCAGGGTTCACCTTGAAATGGCTCGTTCCTCAATCTCGGTGCGTCGCTGTCCCAGGACCACAGAAAGGTAAAGGTAACTTGGAAGTTTTGGTGTTCCTTACACTCCCGCTTACCGACCAATCATGCCGCCGGAAGCCCTACTTCTGAAAGGCATATAAACCATTTCAATTTCTACTCTAGTGCCTTCGGGCATTTGGTCAATTTGAAACGATACAGAGAAGATTAGCATGGCCCCTGCACTAAGGATGACACGCTCAATCAAAGAGAAGCTACCAGTTTTTTTTTCTACACTTACAGACCTCGTTTGCAGGTAGGAGTGTCAGCCGTCTTGCTGGAGCATCGCGAGTACGTCCGTTCGAAACGGACTGGCTTCGCTCTTTTCTTTTTTTTCTTACAATGTCAACTTTTAACAGTTGCTACCTACAAGCTACGACTCAACGCCACGCTCTGCCGAGACCATGAGGATCATTTTAGCACGCGAACGACTCGTCTATAATATGCATTCTTATTCAGGGAACTATAAATACACGAAGAGGAGATTCGTGTCAGCATCGCCATATGGTTCAAGCACCACCCTCTCTCTTCGCATATTCCTCTTCCATACGCTGCTCGTACATCCTATCGGCCTCCTCCTTGCTCATGGCACGATCGCTCTCCGCGTTCTGCAGGACATCCGAGTTCAGGGCGGACGAATACTCCGGCGACGTGACCGTGCCGCCGGTGCCTGTACCAAAGACTCGTCCGCTGGCGTTGCCTTCTCTTGTGGATAGCGCTTCTAATGATGCATAACCGGCGGAGCCAGTAGGTCGATTTCCAGTTGATGGCTGCTTGCCTTCATTAGAGGGAGGATTTTGGTGAGGCATCTTGGGTTTGTGGAGATTGTTTCGCGGTATAGGTAGTCACAAACAGGAGGAAGTAGTAGTTTAGAGGATTGTAGTCTGTACGTGTGTGATGATGGACTCAGTAAATAGCTGACAACGATGTGTTTATGTATTCCGTGGTGGATACTGACTGACGGCTGTGGCGACCAACGTCACTCTCTACACTGCTGTGGCTGAGATTTTCTACTCACACGCCACTGTTGTGGCGCAGACTGTTTTCCAAAGCCAAAGCCAAAAAAAAAAAAAAACCGCGAGATCAGAGGGTTACCATCCCAAATAATTCTACTTCGTAGCACGGACTACTTCAAATCAGAGTAAGCATTTGAAAATGGCGTCTTCATTGATCACATAACCTCCAGTGTAGATATATACAAGCAACTGTGTATAAACTTCTTCTGACAAGCAAACCACTCCCTCCTCCAGGAGACAAGCGACTTGCACACAGCCAGAAAACTACATTATATTACTCCGCAGTCCATAAGAGGATGCAACATATCAGACCTCTTCTCCACCCTCGAGCCACTGGCCCAAGAACTGATGAAAAGGAAAGTATGATATCCACGAGGTGGAAAGTGCCAAAGAATACGCCTGTCAATGACCCGAAGGCCGTTGAACGGATTGTTCCGCCGCGCTGTGCAATGCAGGGACCAATCCGTGGTGGACCGCCTTCTTGATCGCAGCCACCCAAACAAGGTAAGTATGAAGAAAAGAAAGAAGAAAAAGATAAAAGGATGGGGGGTGGACGAGTCTTATATATGTTGTGGTGGGGAATGTCAAACGCCGCTAGCTGCAAGCGAGGTGCTTTTGGAGCGCTCTGATTCGCCACTAGTTTGAGAGGCTGGACCGTGGTCAATATCGCAGACTACAACAAATCACATGATATGCTCGACAACAGTACATTTACCATTGTGGTATGACGACTCGGTTTGATTAAGTATTGGGAAAGGTTTACTGCGATATAGCGCATAGATGACCGCGAAGTATAATTCGATCCATGCATTAGAGACGGCACTCGAGCAGTCATAGCTACCCCGAGTAATATATGCACATGCATGACTAGAAGACCTGAATAGCTACAAGATAAGCGACATGCTGTGACGTGCGGCTATCAAAGCCATAGTATGACAGCCTCAAAATCCATGCAGGCTCTCCAATATCCTACTAGCAGTAGTACTCTCCTACTCCGCACTCAGAGCGAGGCATGCGTCGACGGCCAGACCAACCCTGCGGCAACAGCGTCAGCAATGCTTCTCTGCCTTATATCATAGAAAAACTAACCTTCCTTCTTTCATCTTGACCACATCGTCAATGACGTCGCGATCAAGATTCGGAAACATGTTCGACAGCGTCTCCACCACGTTATTGTGTTCAGCCCGCTGAATCCTTCGCGCCTCCGCATCCTCGGCGCTAGCTTGACGTGCAGCAGCATCTTGCGCATCCAGTACCCTGGCCAACTGCGGCTGTGCCGCATTACGGGGCCCCTCACTACTGCTACGGGGCGGCTGATATACGTTAGGGGACAGTCGCGGTGGTGCCCCCGGCTGCGGGGTGCCGGCAGGCTGTATTGGCCGCTCGTGTGGCGAATCTGGCTCGTCCGAAAACATCCTTCCGATTGTTGATAGTGGTTTCTGAATAGTCCGCAATAGTCCTGCTACTGGTGCGCTCTCCTCGTCACTCGTTTGCGGCGCCTCTCTCCGCGCCGCAGGTCTTTGTGTATCGGTTGAAACCCGCGATGGAGCTTGAGAGCTTTCCGGCGTAGGACGCTCTGCTCTTTTCGGCTCGAAAGACTCGGAGTCGCGATTCTGCTCGGCAATAGCAGACACGGCAGCCTCGACGTTACGCTCAAACTCCTCATCACTCACTGTCAGGCTTGTCCGATCCAGGGTCTCGATAAATTGAATAGCACCTGACTGTTTATGAAATCAGCTACGTTTCCTATATTATCAGGGCAAATAATGTTTGATTGACATACCAGTGAAGATAGGTAGTACCCCGCTTCTCCTCCTAACTTATCTTGATTTCGGAAGCGAAGAATGTACTGGATATTGGAAACCAGATGCTCAGGGCGAGCTTGTAGCACGACGTAGATTAGAAGGGGAACGAATGAATCTGCTGATGTGTCGGCTTGTTTTGAATTTTTCAGCAGCCCTGCAAGAGAAATCGGCATCAGCCCTGTACTTTACATGCTCAGGGACTACTCATTCTGCTGCCTCACCGAAGATAACTTTGCAACAATTCAATATGCAAATCACTTTATCACGTGGTGCACGGTAGCCGTTGATCTTCAGAAGCTCTACGCTCAGTGTCAGAGACAATCACAGCATAAACGGACATCGAGACTTACCCTGCTGTGCTAGGTTCAAAAACCGACGGCCGTGAGCGCCCACAGGCGGTATGTCAAGATGCTGCTCTTTCACCCAACCGTAAATCCGCATCTTCTGCGCCAATACATCATCGCGTTCGACATCTTCCTGGTGCTGACCACGCCTCCATGGCCCATGAAGTCGTTCCATTTCTCTTCGTCTGCTTCTGCTTGCACTTCTTGGGATTGAGGGAGGAGCCGGTATAGCAGGTGAGAAGGTCTGCGAATACAATCGATTCATGACCAGCTTCTCCATACCCTCCTTCGCGTTATCGAATTCGCTGTCGGAAACATCCCTCCAGACCTCACACATGGCCATCTTATTCGTAATGAAGGTCAAGAAGTCGCTAATGATCTTCACTTGCTCATGTACCATCCACTGTCTTTTGCCAAACTCATTAAGGAATGAGCGGAGAAACTTGGCCACTGGATCCGCAGTGCGGTGCCTGAGCTGTTCCAGAAAACGATGGAAATCGAACGGTTGATCGGGCTCAGGTTCCGGCGGAGGTGGAGGGACAGTCGACGTAGAAGATCGTCGAGTCAGTGCTGGATGGTCTTCGGAAGCTCTACGTGCGCTCTTCGAAATAGGAGCAGGTGGCTTCTCGACAGCCGAAGGTGGTATCCCTGCATTCACCTGAGGGCCTCCCTCTGCTGACTTTGAAAGACTCGAATGACGCGGCGGAAAATGCCCCTGGCCTCCAAGAAATTGCTCAGCCAGCTCCAAACGAGGAGACATCAACTGCTCCTGGCTGCCCCTGCGTTCAGGGTCCTGAAACTGACCCATGATGTTC